CACCACCCGAAACATCAGTTAGCATTCCATTCAATGCAAATAGAATCAACAATTAAGACAGAAACAAAAAGAAAACAACCACCGAACTCTCCAAGCCGAAAATAAATTAAAAGAAACAAGCGCAAGAAATGAAATTGAAAATGAGAACAACAATTAAAGATATAAAATCACACACTGAAAAAGAATGGGCACGCAACGTCGTGCATCACTTGTAACAAAAAATGTACATGGAAAATGTAATGTACATCAAAAGTCGTGAACAACGCGAAGTACCTGTCACTAAAATCATACATGAAAAATGTAACATGATACAATGTATCCTACTTCTAAGGCACTCGTACCACATGTCGAAAAAAATACAAGAAACAGTAGTCTACAAGTCGTGTCGTAGCTGCCAAGATACTGTACTCAGTCTGATGCAACCGACGATATTCTACAAACACCCTACTCGTACCAAAATCATACTCGACGAACACCCTACTGCTACCAAAATCATACACACCAACAACTAAAGCACGCACACTACCATTGACTGTCTAACAATACTAAGACAAGACGAGACGACCAAAAAAACTAGGACCGCACAACATGACGAAGTACAGTGCGAGTAGGGGAGAAGCGGAGTGTTGGCCTCATCGGTCAACGACCCTTCTTCCCCTTCCCGCTCTGTCTCCTCGTACCCCCTTGAGTGCCAGATGTCAACCTCTTCCTCCCTCATGCGGATGAAGAAGTCTGCGCAGCGGAGCTTGTAGATGCACGCGTCGGTGGGGGTCCTGGGGGAGGTGGGGGCTCATCGTCGTCATCGTCGTCCTCACCATCGGAACCGCTCTTGCTCTCCTCCTCTCCCTCCTCCTCGCCCTCATAGTCCTCGTCCTCCTCCCGCACTGCCGCATCCATATCAGGATCATCCTCCTCGATGGTGACAAGGCCTCCTCCCTTCCTCAACACAACAACCCTCGCACAAGCCTCTGCAACCGTCTGCTCACGGCGGGATCCACGAGGCATCCTCAACCCCTCCGCCCCCGAACTCTCTCCAAGTGCAGCGCCTCCCTCTGCAGGCACGGGGCGTGGACGAGGAGGCACTCCCCGCTTGCGTGGAGTCTGCTCATGCATGACACGGGTCGCTGCTCTCAGAGCGTGCTCCAAGCTCTCGGTGGACACTCCTCTACCGTGACCTCGCTGAGGCTCACGGTGTGCAGGGTGGGGTGGTGGGGGGGGAGGACGTTGCGGAGGGAGTGGCAGCAGAGGGGGACGATGAGGCTATGCCGGGTGGACCAGAGGCAGCAGATGTTGCTGTGGAGGGACGGCCACATGCGGTGGATGAGGATGTGCAAGCAGGACAGCGGCGAGACGAGGGGGCTACAGACGCACAGTGCGTGGTCCAAGAGACAGTGACGGGTCCAATCGTTCCGTTCTCGGGCCTGCATTTAGCTTAGGGTCGACAGTCGCAGGCAGTTCAGATGGCAGTGCATGGTGTGCCAGCGCCCGTTATCACGGATTTGGGTCCGAGCCAGTGGTTGTGCCCCCACGTCTTCCTAGTCACTTTGCTCCACAGGAGGTCCGTCGTTCTTTAGATGTATAGGAGTTGGCGAGAGAGGCTGTGCTCGATGTTACTCGATTGGACCGGCGTATCTTCGACCAGACGCTCGAGCATCCAGCATGACAGGCAATCCCTTCGGTTCCATGGGATCTAGCGTCGCTCGTGTGGTCTGGGTCTACCTCCACCGGAGGACGTACCGTGGGACATGTTCCAGGGGTTTCGGGTAGCGTGATGGAGACAGCGCCACGCACAAGAGACATGCCACCCCCTCCTCCTAGACCACCTGTAGGTGATCCATCATCATCGCCCACAGGCAGAGGCTCTCGATCCCCACACACGCCTTGGAGATCTAGGATTCGTGATACGACAACAGTTCAGCGGGACGTGTTTGACACGATGTTATTCGGGAGGATAAACATAGATTTGGATTTCACCTGCCGTGTCACGGAGCACACTGCACACCTTTAGCCACTGCTGCTGCCGACGGTGCGGTGCCCCATCCTCCTGCAATATCCCCGGGGAAGGTGATTATAACCTCAACTGGCGGACTGCCCCGCCTCTGTGGAGAAGACCGCGCTGAGGCAAAGAGGATCCCAACTCCTCTGTGTTCGCCGTTGTCGTGGCCGGCTGAAGCGGCGAGACGGGCGATGGTGGTGCAGGACTCGGAGCAGAAGGTGGCGGCATGGACGACTCCTGCCTCGTCGGAGTGGGGGTCGTCGTCCGTGCCTCTGTGCCGCCTGTGGAATCGACCTCCCCGAATGGGCCCCAAAACTCCTCTCCCCCCAGCATCTCCCTGTCCGCCGGTCCGCCGCCCGTCGTGCAGTGTGTGCCCTCGTCTCCTCGTCGTCAGGATCGTCGTGCATCTCATCGATCTCACAGGGAATGCGGAGCGCAGGGTCATCTTCCGCCTCGGGTACCGGCTCCTTGTCTGAGTCGTCCTCCCTGGGGTAGGGACAAAAAATGCAAGCACGTCTACCGAAAACGGCATCAGCAGAGGGTGGTGCGGAGGCCCCGATGGGATTTTGGGTAATAAGCACAACCTGACGGGCAATCTCCTCCTCCGTCATCCCCCTGCGCATGCCCGTGCGCATAGGCATAACCTCGAGTCCTGCCTGGCAATCCAGCATGCCCTCGTCCGCTGCCATGGCAACACATAACTGTATCCAACCCGCCGATACCTCGTTAACCGCACATTTGCGGTGATCTCAACGAGTTGAACGACCTTCTCGAAGGCCAACTAGTTGCGCTTCTTTGTATGGATGCCCTCGTGGACTGCCCAGTTCCTTTCCGCTGGAGAGGCGCAAGACCACATGTGCATCACCCGAAGAGCGCACCGCTGCAACTTTGGCGCGCCAACCCCTAACTGAGACCAACAAGACGCGCACTCAATCCTCTCGCCGTCGCCGCTGCTTGCGCATCCACGGGCACGCCCCTCCGCCCCGCCCCAATCCCCGAACCTGCCCTGCTGAATGTGGAAATCCTCAAACTGCCGACATGCAAAGATGTACTCCGCACCCTCCAACTCGAAACCCGTGTGCGTCAGAATGTACCTCTTGGTTGGCCCCACAAGCCAAGCATGGTACCGATCAACCTCGCCCGAAAAGTAGCGAACGTGTCGCCTGCGGGGGTTCAGTAAGAACCCTGCGCAGTGAGCCAAGCATGTGCTGTGTGCAAGCCTGCACACGCTTGATGATCCGGTCGGCGAACGACTTCCCCAAAGGAGCGCATGCGTCCGTGACACGGCGGAAAAGATCCTGTGTCCACTCGATCATGAGGGACATGTACTGTTCTCCACGATCCATCTGCCTAAGCAAGTCCATGACGGGCTGCATGATATGGACAATGGTGGCCACCCTCTGCCACCATGGATCCCATCTGATCTGTCGGCGCACCCAACACGCCATGATGCTCACATCGGCGGACCACGGGATGAAAGCAAATGCCCGCGCGTCATCCCCTCGCATCATGTCGTGCAAAGTGTCCTGCAGGGCCAACAGCCTTTCTAGCATGGAATAAACAGACGCGAACCGCATCTCGCAAAAAAGAATAAGCCCCTTGTTGGTGTTGTGCGTCCTAAAAAAATAAAGGGTGGCCTGGTGGGTTTTGAAAAACACCACCAGCACACGAGCGCGTGTGACCGCGTCCACAAACGCGTCCCAAGTCGTCCCCATGTCAGACAACAATTTTGTTGCAGATATGGACGGAGCACGGGAGCCAAGTGATCCTCCTCAATGCAAGAGGCATGGCCGACGAGGCCAATGCCCTTGCAGCCCCCAGGCACACAGAAGCGGAATCAATGCATATCGCATTGACCCGGTGCGGGCTGCCGAAGCTGAACTCGTGGAAGATGGTATCCCATCTTCGAAGGACGTGCACTGCATCGTCCGGCTCGCCCTCTCGATTGATCGTCGTATACACGACGACCCCTCGTGAGCCAGCGGCAAGGAAATTTACAATCAGTCTCCCGTCTCGTGATTTCCTCCCATCGGAGAGGAGGGTGGCACCAGTCACCCAGAGTGGCTGCCTCACCTCCTCCAACTCCTCCGCCAGCTCTTACCGTGGGTCTCCACTGCCCGCATACTCACAATCTCGCTGTGATTGGGGAGCTCAACGCGAGGGGAACTGCCAGACTGCTCAAGAAGCACCTGTTGATATGCCTTCCAAGCCTGGTTGCGGAAGGCATTGAAAGAGACCTCGCTGGAATAGAGCCAGCGAAAGAAGGCCTTCATGTGGGGAGCAACTCACTTGCCACCGTAGACCTCAGTTACCTTCTGCTGGCGAAACCTCTTTCCTGCTGGGGTGGCAGCCGGATCAGTTCCTCCTTCCTTCCTCTTGGAAGACCCCTCCGTTGCAGGTCCTTTGCCTGCTCGTGTCTGCCAGTCCTCCATCCTCTCCCCAATGCCTGGATACAACTCTGGCACGTCATCGTGTTCCGGAACTCCCTCCTTGCCCGGGCCACACACCTCTCGATGGACGAGGATCACGCCCTCCTCTGTGTCACCGCCTCCACACCCCAACCGTTGGTCTGGCGCACCATGCCCACCATCTCCCCCGACCCCTCCCTCCACCAGACGCCGCCCCGCCTCTCCTCCCCTTGCACCACCCGTGCCGGGCACATCGAGTCCGCGCTCCGTTGCATACCTGGCAACCCTCTCCATCTGATCGGCCTCGAAATTTTGTTGAGTCCTTTGCGCGATCTCGTACAATGCCTCGTCACTGACGTCCTTACAGTAGTTCGTTTGTGTGAAGTGCCTTGTGGCCTGAAACAGGGTCCCTTGGAAAACTTCGTTGCAAAACGTGCAACGGACCATTATGACCCCCTTCTTGTCGACCTTCTGGCCGACAACCAGGTACCGATACACAGGGGAGCGGACCTTGAATGTGTCCTGAACATGGTCCGGGGCAGGCTCATGCTGGCGGCGCTGTGCCGTCCCCATGCCGACCACCCTGGCGAGACAACCCTTGCAGACTCTCCCCGGGCGCACCGCTGCAACCCAGCCCCCGTCGGCCGCTGCCCACCGCAGGGTCCCCCCTCCCCTAACTCCCTCACACCCCCCTCAGTACCTCACCCCCCCCCCTCGCGAAACAATCCTCGTTCAGTCTCCCCCACCCCCCCGCTGCAACCCAAGCCCCCTTGACCGCTGCCCGCCGCAGGGTCCCCCCTCGAGTCTCCCCTACCGTCTCCTCGCACCGCATGAACCCGCGCGCACGCCGCCCAACCCCGGCAAATGCCCGGCGGCCCCACACGTTAAATTGCGTTAAACTCCATTCAAACGCGTTAAATCGCATTAAATCGCATTTGACGCCATTGAATTAAAAATTCAATGGCGTCAATCGAGGCCGCGCGTGCCGATTCTCCACCATCGTCGAACGCGCTCCACTGCTGCTCCAGCTTCGTCCCAACACCATCGCCGCTCCGCTCCGCTCCACGCTCCCTGCGATGCTCCTCGCTCCCTCTCTCTCTCGTGACAGCTCTCTCTCTCTCTCTCTCTCTCTCTCTCTCTCTCTCTCTCTCTCTCTCTCTCTCTCTCTCTCTCTCTCTCTCTCTCTCTCTCTCTCTC